AAAAGTATATAGATACATTATCAAACAGTTGGGGGTGGGTGAAACTAGATTTAGCATGTCTGTGTCATTCCTATGATTTTCAAGGCTGTAATGGACTTATATACACTATTTTAAATCTTGTTTTATTCTTTCATTGAGCATTGTATCAAAAAATTTCCATGATGGTGGCATTGTCTTCATGGCCATAGTTACTGAAAATAATAATAATATTATTATTTAATAATACATGACTGACTATATGATACTTAGCTTAATGCCACCTATTCTTCTAAGAGTTCAAGTCTGAGGAGATCTTTCCTCTTGTGCTCTCGAAGATGCTTACTTAATCCCTTTGGGGAAATGTCTGTCCTTTCTCACAGAAATTTAGGATTAAATTCAATGACATCTTTTTGTTGTTGTTGTTGTTGGTGTAGAGGCCTGAAGTCTTGACATTTTCCCAAATTAGACGACATAGAAGAAAACAAAGGGTGAGATCCTGACACAGTTTAATTTCTGTGCTAGTGAGCAACTGTGCTTGGGTGCAAAAGCCACCTCGCTATTTAAGTGACAATGTAATTAAGCGACACATCTTGAGCAGAGCACGCCCTTCCCAGCTGTGTCACGACATTGCCGGGACTGGTGTCTGATGATGAAATATATTTTTGAACAGTCGCCTAATTAGTTCTTTGCTCATATTCACCTGAGTGAAATTAGGACATAGCTCATTGTACCTCTATAAAACTTTGCTGGGTTTTCATTTTCCTTTTACAAAGATGTCATTTAATTATGCTACCTTTTAATTATGCTTAATTATTTTAATTTGGTTTTGCTCCTTGTGTTCAAGCATAATGAAATTCAGGAATATTTTATATATATCATGTTGTAGCTTAAAAGGGCACTTTTTATGTCTACCACTCATCAGACTGAATGAAAAGTAGAGTGTTTGTATTTGTAAGGGGTGTGTGTACATGTAAACATATACTCACACAGTTTTGTATCTGCATATAAAAAATGGTAGCATGATGAAGTAAAACATGAGGAAATGAGTTTCAGAGCTTCTGGGAACTACTGTGCACAAAGCCACTTATTCTGTGACCCTAAACAAGGTCTTCAGCTCTGTAAGCCTCCATATCTTCATTTGCCAATTGGCAATAATACTGACTTCTCCTTCAATACTTGAGAAGCCGTATGTTTTGAGGAGTGAATCAGGTGGATAAAAGTACTTAGTGAGATAGAAAGTTAGCTACCATAATTAAAAGTAAAATAGAAAAACCGTCCAGAAATGGCTAGTTTAAAAGAACATCTAAATAGTCCATTGATATAGCCTCACCTGAGAAATAAGGCACCTTTTCTCAGAAGCAGTTGAACCACTTTGTCATGCCCATTTTTTGCAGCCAGGTGGAGAGGAGTCATTCCGTGAAGGTCACCTTCATTCAAAAGCCTTGTGTCGCTCATGTCTTGCAGGAGCCTCTGGCATGTATTGATACGCCCGTAACTTGAAAAAAATTAGGGTTCATATTTTTCAAAGCAAATATTAAGCAGAAAGAAGATGTGCTCATATGTCACATAAACGGACCCTTACCTGGCTGCAAAATGTAGGGGTGATTTTTTATCTTTGCTTTTGGAATGAATGGATACATTAAAGCACAGTAGGTTATTTACAGAGACAGGGGCCCCCTGTCTGCATGCATAATGAAGAGGTGTACACCCATCGTTGTCTTCATCCATTACCAGCTCTTTGATATTTTGCATCTATGGGGAAAAATTAATATTCTAAGTATAACTCTGCTCTCATTCTAATCATAGTGTTTTCCTAACTATGATTGGATTAAGCTGCCAAAGGAACAACTTAATCCAATCAATAAGCATATTTTTATTCTTGTTTAAAACATTCAAATACATTTTTTATTTTTTATTAAAGATATTGACAATATTAAAATCTATTATTATAAAAATATGAGGCACTTCAGATAATATCTAATAGTCACTCAATAAATATTAGTGGCTGAATATAAATATGGAGATAATGTTTTCAACATGTTAGCAAGTCAAGCATGTTGAGCAGTTTTTCTTAATCGGTGATGGAGTAGTGCTAATGCATGCATGTACTTGACTTTTCCATTGATAACACAATTCGTAATGGTCCAAAAGGAAAGGAAAGCTGACTTATAAAATGGGGATATATGTGAACACTTTGTAACTTGGAAAATGCAATTCCAATGTAATCTATTATCGTCATCATAATCATCACCACTATGTTGTAAATAAATATTCAAATATGGCATCTTTATTTTAAAATATTTTTTAAATTCCAGAATCAGCCTTCATAATAATACAAA